TTATGTGATAAAAAGGAGTTGTATTGGTATCAGACTAAAAATACGAAACGATACTTGGAAATTAGAGTAGAATAGTAAAACAGGCTGCTTCTGGTCTACATTAACTGACGGTTCAATTCAACAAAATGGACCTAATGTTTCTACAGATTACAAGTAATAATCGGATCTAATTAGAAGTCCGTACAAACAAAGGTATCATTCAATCAAATAATATCAGAGCTGGGAAACACAATGGCCCATAGAATATCTTCTCTGGATCTTCTTCTTCTTTTTTTTTTGTGTGTGTTTTACAAAGGGAAATGTGGAATATTTTTTCTTTTTTTTTTTCTTTAACAAAGAGAAATGTGGAGGATGGGAAAGAATAAAGAAAAATAAAAAAATTTTAAGACAAACAAAGAGAAATGTGGTAGAAAATGAAGTAGGATTGATTGTTTAAATTCTAGCGGAAGGAACCTGAAGGAACACTTGAGTTGGTCCAGCGAGGAGTAGCACAAACGCAGAAGGAAATTGCCATGAGAAACGAAATGGGTTTTGTTTGCCGGATGGATGATTTCGTTTCCTTGGCAGAAGAGGGATGATGGAAAACAACGCCGTGTAATTAAATAAAATGGAGGTAAATGGAAATCTTGCTATCAACAGAGGTATTTTTTAAGTGTATTGCATATTGTTTTTTTCTAGAGAATTTATTTAAAAATTTATATTTTAATTAATTTTTTGAAAATTCAAATGTGAAATTAAAAATTTTATTCATATAATTTATATGTCAAATTTTAAATTATTTTAGTGGGTTTAACTATTTTGTTATTATATAAAATTGAGCATTATTAAATATATGTCAGTAAATAAAGTTTTTTTTTATCAAAATATTAGAAGTGTTAGATTAATATAAAACCGATATTTATAATTTATATTAATTGAACTTTCAATCCAATAATTAATTTTTAAGAATATTAATTAAAATATAAAGTTCTAAGTAGGTTCTTAAAAAAAAATTTAGAGCACCACCAACCAAACACTAACCTTGTTTTTCTCTTCTTAATAAAATCATAAGAACTCTGTATCCCTTAGTTATTGGGTAAATTTTCAATTTTGTTTCATTTTTATGTTTTGACCAACTAATAACCAATAATCATCGCTCTAACCTAGTTCTTTTTATTACTCTAATTAACGAATTAAGTATTTCATTATTTTGAATTTGAATTGCATAATAAAAATAACTAATAGTTATTACTTTAATCATTACTCCCTCAGAACATAACTTTTGTCAAATTAGGTTCCAAACTCTGCTTGCTAATTTAATTGAAAGAGCTTACATGTAAGACTTTTCATTGCAATTCCAAACAAGAAACAATAAGAAGAGCAATTTAGAAATGACAACTATAAAATGGCTACATTCTTTAATGCATTGCTTCATGACTTGGATAGATGATCGACTATAAAATAGTAGCTAGAAATGAAGCACATCTCAGTGTAATAAAACCACGCCCGTCTCCAATAAGGATTTATGTAAAGAACTGCAGCAATAGTTATGAGCACCATTATGTAAGACACAATTAAACTCACATAGAAGACACCCATATCGATGAAACCATCATCTTCTATGCCCTGTGTTGGACCTTCCTGGATCATTGGTGGTGGACTTGTTGTTGAGCAACTTTTCATTGGTTCCCCACAAAGCAGAGGATTACCTTGGTAACAACTTCCATCAAATGTTGCAAATTGTCGGATCCTTGCTGGTGTCTTACCTGATAAGTTGTTGTATGCTACACTAAAGGTAGATAAGAAACATAACTCAACAAGCTCGGGTGGAATTTTTCCACTCAAATTGTTGTAGGAAAGATCCAAGCTCTCGATTTGCTCAAGGTTAGAAAATGTAGATGGGATTCCACCAATCAAGAAATTATGAGACAGGTTTAGTACATGAATCTTACTAAGGTGCCCTATTTCATAAGGAATTTCACCAATCAGTTTGTTGCAGGAAAGGTCCATTCCAGACATGTAGGTGAGAAGTCTTCCGTTGTAAGAATATGCCATATTCTTTGTTGTGAATTGCACTGGTTCACCATCAGAAAGTGTATTCTTGAAAAGTTTTGCAGCAAATTGTTCATCGTTAGAAACAAAATCATTACCCTCATTATATTGCTCATTAGTAGTAAGATTTAGGCAAGAGGGTATACGGCCTGAAAGATGGTTCTGAGATAGATCAATTATGCTCAATTTCTGCAACTTGCATAGTTGAAATGGGATCTTACCTTCAAGATTATTGTTCTTCAAGAGAAGATAACTCAACTCACCAAGCATATTGATGCAATTTGGGATGTTACCACTTAGCTGGTTGTCACTAAGGTCTAGCGTTATTAGAGAAGAGATCTTACAAAATTGTGTTGGCAGTGATCCTTCTAGCCTATTTTTGGATAAATGAACTTGAACTATATCCGCTGGGCCTAAACAAGATGGTAGACTCCCCGAAATATTATTATTTGAAAGGTCTAGAACTTGAAGAAATTGAAAATGACAAAAGTCAATAGGAATTGGACCTTCAAAACCATTATTGGACATGATAATTTCTTGCAACAATGACATATTTCCCATCCCGGTCGGGATCCTACCAGAGAGATTGTTATTGCTAAAATCTATTGAAAACAGACTGAAGCAGTTAAATAAGCTTTTTGGGATACTTCCAAAAAAGTGATTGTCATTCAACTGTAATTCCACCAAATGGAATAAGAAAATTTTCTCAGAGAAAATATGGCCTTGTAGATTGTTGTTTGACAGAATAAGTGAACTCAATGATAAGCAACCCATGGCTAACTTCTCTGGTATTCCACCAGATAAGTTATTGTAAGATAAGTCCAAAGACTGCAGCAACTCCATATCACCAATTGAAGGGGGAATGCTGCCAGATAAGTTATTGCGAGATAAGTCCAAAGACCGCAACAACTCCATATCACCAATTGAAG